AAGTCTTAGAATAATCTCTCCACCGTCAGTTATAAATATACTTAAAGTTGGTAGAAAAAGACATATAAACCAGAGTTTTATCATAAAAGTTCTCATTCTACAGACACCTCAATGAAAATCCTCAGCTTTATAATCACGATTTCAGAGAACTACTCAATATGAAGAGATTAATCACTTGAAACAAATATCATGATGATCTGATCTCAAAGACAGACACCTATCCTGTTCAGTACTTCATTTCATTACCTAGAGAAAACTCATTGCAGGTAAATTAAACAAGCACTTGAAGATCTGAAGAATCAGGAATGAAACCTTGAACCCAGGTGGCCTTAAAATTGTGCAGCTGAGAAGCACAGAATTGATTCTGTATCCTCCAAGTACAAGCCTCCTGTGCCTAAAACCAGATAATTCTATAAAACAATATTGTATTTATCTAAAATTAAGATTAAAGCTAACCACTGGCTACAGCTCTAACAATGGGACCTTGCTATCTAATTTTAAACAAACAGCTTTGGGAGCTGGAGCAAAACAACCCTCAGAATTGCCACGTAGAATTGCTTATCTGGAGGGTTTGAATAATTGAAGAGCAGTCTGAAAGCTGAAAAGATCCCGCTTTTTCCTAAGTAACTGCAGCAAGGTTTCTTTTTCCAATATCTTACAAGATTTATGAAATCTTCAAAATGGGATATTCTCTTGTTTAAAGTCATTTTACAAACTCTTTTTCAAGGTATTACAAAATGTGTTTAGAGCTTGCAAGAGCTTCCCTCTATGCTCTGCCTCTCCAAGCACTGCTCCTTCCTGAAAGAAAAACAGGGGAAGAGGCCTTTTACCCTCTCAGCTTTTTTCCTCATATCAACCCAAAAAGGGCTGGTTGTCAATTGAACAAATAGATATTTTTAATATTTTCGAGTAGATATTTTTTTAAAAAAAAATTAGTTTGAGAACTATGCCTGAAAAAGGAATTTATGTATAAACCACATTATTATAAGAAGAAAATCATAGCCATGATACCTTTATGATAGGTGGGGAATGATGTTGCCTGATAAATCTCCCTTGGATGAACACTATGCAGGCACAAACACAGACTTTACTGGAAATCATTGGATCCATCTTGTTTCCTTTGGAGTTAACTGAAGTTCCTCTATTCTTTTTAGTAATAACAGCATCAGTTCCCCATTTGTCCTATATACACTTATGTGGCACTCTACATGTAAGTACAAATACTTAAAAAAAAACCCAAACAAACACCAGAAACTATGTTCACTTCCATCATAAATCAGTTTGTCTTCATTGTAGTGTAATGAATTTTATTTTATGTATCTTATTTTTATTTAACGTGTATTTTATTTTTACTTAGCATTGGAACAGATTAAAGAGGGGAAAAAAAGGATCAGATTGACTTTCCATCTTTTACACGATTCTCTTTTTGCTTGGAGACAAAAGTTAGTATTCCTAAAGTGCAATTAGGCTCTTCCAATCCCCAGTTTTCTAATAACAATGTTCAGTTTTTTGCTTTCAATAAAGCAAAAAAAAAAATCACTTTATAAGTATGTAACAAATTCATTTTCAAAGCTTAGCAAGGTCTTTGTTATTTCAAGCAAAATAAATTCTTGGACCTGAATGACTTCCTGTGGATAGGTGTGTCATTTTCTTAGGAAGTGGAAGGGAGTAGCAAGGGCTGGCTGCTCCCTTGGGAACAGAGATCCAAGGGTTATAACACAGCCCCACTGCACCTGAGCAAGGTGAGCAGGGCAGGCCCAGGTAGGAGCCAGGTTCAACCAGGAGTCAAGATCAACAAGCAACTCTCTGGTGTAAATCCAACCAGGAACCCGAGTTGGGATCAGGACTGAGGACAGAAACCAGCCAGACACAGCCCAGTCAGGAATGTCCAAGGCAGATCCAAGGAAGCAAGTCTGGAGTTTGGGATGAGGGCCACCTGCAGCCAGGTACAGGTATGTACATTCCCACAGCACAGCTCAGGAAAGGACTCAAACCCTCCTGGCAGAGCTGAAAAAGAGCTCTGTGGCCCACAGAGGTGAGAGAACATCCCAGGTGAGGCTGGTCAGGGCCACTAAAGTGTATTAGTGCCCCCAGGTCCTGACAGAGAGAGATGTGTTTTCATTTTTCAAGCAGCAGCTGAAGCAGATAATAGTTTTCCCTGGGGGAAAGAGAAAAGGAGCAATAGAAGATTTCAAAAGGAATGTCTTACTTTACAAAGCCTTATAACCTACACCACAGAGGGTTTTGTCGATGAACAATACAGGGAGCTGTTTTCATGGCCTGTGGGTTATGCAAGAGAACTCTGTTATTGCAAGAATCCCACCCAAGGCCAGTCTGAGAGGGTTGTCAAAATGAAAAGAATGGAAGTGATTTCTATGTAGGATTTTTAAAAGGAATTGATCCTGAGAAATGCTGACCATTTCCTGGGAGGCTGCAAGCCTTCAGCTTCCATCACCACTCTCCCTGTATTAATATCTCAATCTCAGGCTTCTTGAAATCTCCAGGAATCTCTGAATGATACAGAAGCTGAACTCATCCATAAGGTTTTCTACTAATATTTTTGTAAATGCCTCAGTGCTCTGATTTAGCTCATTTACATGGAATTACAAGAGTGTCTTGAGGCACTAAAGACATTGATGTGTCTTCCTGTGGCTATGGATGTGCATAAGGTTATCCAGGTTTTCTGGCTCATGTGTCCTAATGTTTTCAGAAGCTGATGTGCACTAACCACAACTGCCACAAATTAGGCTCATGAAGACTTTTAGCACAATTTTTAGGCTTATGTTAACCAAATCTGTATCATGGGTTGTAAAGAAGTTTATTAGGGTGGATTACAGTGGATTAAAGATCATTATTATAATTATGGAAGGAAAAGGTCAATTTCTAGCTACCCTTTATTGAAAAACACCAAGTCTGACAATCTCTTGTTAAGAAGCATTGCTAAAAGATGTTTTATTTTGGTTTTCCAATGGAAAAAGTTGTATTTGGCTAATTATCCCTGTTTAAAACTGCAACGTTTCTGTCTATAAGCAGTGCATATACAAATATCATCATGGTTTTTGGTGACAGTTCTTACGTCTTCCTCTGTCTCTGAAGACACTGGGAATCAGACACAGACAGAAGCTGTCCTTGACAGCCCATTTCCTGAAGAGCTGAAGCAGGAGGACTAACCAGCCAACTTTGAAGGCTTTCATTTTGGCTGAAAATGAAGTTATAAAGTGGTTAATGGAATTTCTGGAACTTAATTCATTGCCTGTGTGATTTAAGTGTTTGTTTTTTTTTAAAGTCTTTTTCATATATTGTAATGTTTCTCAGTAATGTTTTCTCTCTCTTAATGGTATGTTATCTTACCTTATGACCCTCAGTTCCCCAGGGCTATACTGCTCACATAGCTTTTTTTCCCTCCTCGTCTTCCTTGGGAAGCTCTAACATATTGTTCTAAAATTTGTAATTAGGTAGTGCTCTGTTTTTGTCTTTTCACTGATAGAGAGGGCCCAATTCCCTTCTCAATTCTTACTTCAAATGTTGAGAATCCCAAATTCCCTGTCCTTCTGAAGGACAACTAGTGCTCAATTCCAATCTCACTGGCATCAATCTGACCTATGTGTTTTGCTTGGTTTAATGGGTACATAACAGTAGCAATGACAGAGCTCAGGAGATGTCAAAAGGAGGCAAACACACCTTTGTAAGGCTGAACTGGGAGCAGGATGTGGATGTTTAGCTTCATTCATGAATAGTCCTGACACACTTTGGAGGACTTTGGGCTCATGACAAGTTTTTTGCCACGGGGCCCAAAGTGCACATTTGCTTTCAGGACTGTGACCTCAAATTACACAACCAAATTTGTGTGGTTTCCTGCAGTCGTTTCAGAGCAAACAGCTGTCAGCAGGGCTGGCCTGGGCTCACTGGGGCTGTGCAGTGGCTCCTGTACCTCAGTGCCGGACACTGGGACCGACAGCCAGCAGGATTTCGGGAGCCAGGACCTCCAAAGGCCATGGGGGTGTTGTTAACAAAACTGGATTCATTACTTAGAGTGCAACAAGCCAATAAGTTACACGAGAGAGACATTGGTTATTTCAGACTTACAGAAGCCTGGTGCTTGGTGGTATTCCACAAATCCAACACATCCATCAGACTTTTCACACCATTATATGCAGAAATTCAGAGTTAGTAACTTTCCAAGTACAGTCCCTCTAATTAGGATTGGTTAGTAATTTACACACAAGTTAAGCAACCCAAGTTAAATTCTACACATGCTCAGGGGAAGGGTGATGTGATTTACTGGTTCAGGGGTTGCAGCGGCAGTGCCGGGTCGAGGGTTGGACTGGATGATCTTAAAGGTCTCTTCCAACCTTGATGATTCACAGAATTACAGAATCACTTAGGCTGGAAAAGAACTCTGAGATCATCGAGTCCAACCTGTGAGCGATCACCACCGCGTCAACTAAACCATGGCACTGAGTGCCTCGTCCAGTCTTTCCTTAAACACCTCCAGGAGCAGTGACTCCACCACCTGCCTGGGCAGCCTAATGCCCAGTCATCCCTCGCGTGAGGAAATTCCTCCTAATGGCCAACTTGAACCTCCCCTGTTTCTCTGTGTTCTCTGTGATTAGACTATGTTCACTATGACTCTGATTCTAACTTGAACTCTGAGAGAAGGGGCGGTGCCGGGGAGCTCCGAGCGCTGAGGACGCGCCGGTGCCGCCGGTGCCGCCCCGGGGCGGGCCGCGCGGTGACCCCTGTGCCACACTCAACATGGCGGCCGACACACCCCCAGCCCCGCCACAATATCCTCGCTTTCCATTGCGAGGCTGTCAGTCTGCGATTATCCACCGCAATCAGCGCGCGCAGCGCTTGCCCCGTTGGGCGGTGCCGCGGGCCGGTGCCGCGTGTGGGCCGGGAGAGGGATGAGCCGCCTGTGCCCGGCCCTGGCCCGCGCCCGCTGCCTCTGGGCAGCGCGGGGCGCGCGGCCCGCCTCTCGGGCCGCGGCCGCCCCGGGCATGGAGGAGCTGCTGCGGCCGCGCGGTGCAGCGCCGCTGCCGCCCTACGAGACCAAGGAGAAGGCGCCGCCTCCCGCGGAGCTGCGCGGCGCGGAGTTCGTGCAGTTCTACCGCGCGCTGCCGCCCGGGCCGCCCCGCGCAGAGCTCCTCACCCGCCTGGCCCAGGACTTCGGCGTGGAGCACGGGCGCCGCCCCGCGCAGAGCTCCTCACCCGCCTGGCCCAGGACTTCGGCGTGGAGCACGGGGCGCTGCTGCAGGCCGAGGACCGGCTGCGGTACTACCTGAACCCCCAGTACCGCGGGCTCTTCCAGCACCTGGGCCGCCTCGAGGGCGGGCTGCGCTTCCTCGTGGAGCTCCGGGGCGACCTGGTGGAGGGGCTGGCGAGCAAGGAGGTGGATGGGCCTCATGTCAAGGTGAGGGCAGAGGTGAGGGTGGGTGGCTCTGAAGGAAGTCGGCGGGGATGTGGTCTGGGGCTTCCTGCTCCTGGAGCCACGGTGGGATGGAAAGTATGTCGTGAAGCCGATTCGATGTTGAGGTGTCCATGGGCCCCTCAGTTCAGGTGGGATGTTCAGGGGCTGCAGTGGGGCCCGGGAAGGACAGTGGAGCTGGGGAAGGGTCTGGAGGGCAGGTCCTGTGAGGAGCAGCTGAGGGAGCTGGGGGGTCTCAGCCTGGAGAAAAGGAGGCTCAGTGGGGACCTTCTCGCTCTCTACAACTCCCTGACAGGAGGATGGAGCCAGGTGGGGGTCGGGCTCTGCTCCCAGCGAATAAGGGACAGAATGAGAGGAAACAGTCTCTAGCTGTGCCACGGGAGGTTTAAGTTGGACACCAGGAAGAATTTCTTCACAGAAAGGGTTAAACATTGGAAGGGGCTGCCCAGGGAGGTGGTGGAGTCCCCATCCCTGGAGGTGTTTAAGGAAGGACTGGGTGTGGCACTCGGTGCTCTGGTCTAGTTGACAAGGTGGGGATTGGTCCCAGGTTGGACTCGATGGTCCCAGAGCTCTTTTCCAACCTAATCGATTCTGTGGTGGGACACAAGTGAACCCTATCCCACAGCCACGGCACCAGCGAGAGCTGCCTGTGTTGATATTAGGAAGGGAGTGGCCCGTGGGGTGAAGCAATGGGCTTGCTTTCCAGAGTGGCAGTGGGAGGCTGCTGTGGGCAGTGCCACACTGGTGCAGTGCAGCTCGTGTTGGGGCTGCCAAGCTGTGCCAGGAACTCCCTCGGTCGTGGCCTCACTCCTTAGTCTGTTCCAGGGCCACAAGTGACACAGCACTGTGTTGTGCTAATGGTGAGGAATATCAGCAGGAGAAAGGAGTTGCCATGATTTGGCTCAAGAGTGAGAAGGCAGAGGTGAAGTGAAACATCCTAAGTGGTTCCATGGTGTAGTGAGGTGACATGGCTGTGGAGGAAGGACTGCTGTAGGACATGACAGTGGCAGGAGCTGACAGGACTTCCTGGAAGGCAATGAAGAGAGACAGCAAGTCAATCAGATGCAATGACCATTAGTTATTTGCCAATATTCAGATCCAAATTAGGTTTGACAAGAAAACGATGTTCTTGGTGTCAGTTCTGTCAATGAACCACAGTCATCACATAACCGAAGCAACAACAGCTTTGGTAACATTCCACATCCAGTTGGATCATCTTAAGTAAAACTGGACTGAGTTTGCAAAATTATCAGGGTAAAAATATGTAAAACAGCTGAATGTACATGTGTCAGATAACACAGAAACATACTAAAGACATTTGAAAGTAGGAAAACATTGTCTGCAAAGCTAAAGCATCAATAAAAGGCTGTCAGGGGCGTTCTATCTTCTCAAAATATTTTCTTAAACGTTTGGGTTCGTCAGATGACTAGACTCAGTTCTGTATTTCCGTTCTTGTAGTCAGTTTTGTGCTTGTTGATCAGTTTTATTTTTCAGATGCGATGTAGTCTAAAAACGAGAGTTGATGATAAGCAGCACATAAGTCAGCACAAAACCTAGAACTGGTTTACATTGGGTTTGTTTGTGACCATATTGGCTGTAAGGGTTTACTCTGGACACTGTTTCTTTTCAGTCTGGAGTTTCACTTAGGTCATTCTCATCTTTTGCCACATCAACCCAAGACCCAGAACTGTGTGTTGTTCCCGTGTTCCTGCTAGTGTGTCTGGGAAAGGTGTTACCTGTTGCTTCTGAAATAAGTGTCTTGCTCAGCCTTTAAAATCTATTTGCTTCTGTTGCAAGTAAGTGACAGAATAACTACGAGCACCCAAGGGAGCAAAAAACCCCCAGGAGGTGTTGACTGACAAGTGGTTTGTGAAGAAGGGGTGTGAGGACACAAATACTTAATTTGGTCTTGGAAAGCCATAGGTGTGAGACACCATTACCTGTTTGAGACTGTGTGTCAAAAGCAGAGAAAACTGTATGGCAGAATATTCAGGCTCTAAATTTGGGGGTGGGATTGTAAATTTTTCTTTTTCCCTTTTTTTTTTATTAAACATTTTTTAACGTTCTTTTTCTTTTTTTTCTTTCTTTTTTAATAAAGAATTTCAGTCTTGAGTAAAGAACCTTTCTAGTGATGCAATATATATTTTAGATTCTTGCAGTGGACAATTTCTTTGCTAGTTTCCCTGACTGCAGGATAGAGACAAAAAAGCTATTAGGAAGCTCCAGAACTTGGGATGGATGATAACACATCAGAAGTCACTGTATTATTGTTATATGTGATCAATTCTTACTTTCTTGAATTTCTAAAGGTATTACTTGAAACCAAGGAGATGCAAATTAACTTCTGATTGTTTCTCCACTGGTTTCACTGTTCATAAATCATTAACAAAAGGAAAAAGCTGAGTTATAAGCAATTGAAAAAGAATGCTGTCTGCCTTACTGGAAGAATTCCTTAGATCTTAAAATAAACCCTGAACAATGCATTGGAAATTCTTAAAATGATGGATTGTGCAAAGAGAAGGAATGTGCTGCATGTAAGTTTTAGTTTATATATAAGTTGGTTATTAGAGGGCAGAATCATCACCCAGAGCAAGACAGAAAAATTATGGGCATCCATTGACAGGTTATGATGTAGTAAATGTCCCATGTGGATTGGGAAAGATGAGGAATGTCTTGACACAGGCGTCTTGATAAAATCAAAAATTTAGTGGTAAACTGTATTTTTGGAGCTGTACAGCCCTTTTTCCAAAAAGTCCACCAAAAATTCATGCAGGACATATGAGGAGAAAGTTCTCTGTAATCTGTCCCAGAGGTGGATTTTCTTATCTGTTAAATATATGAATCAATTATTACATTCACAAGCCTCATGAATAACGTTGGGAGGGCCATTTAAAAATAAAAGGTACTGCCACATCGTACACTCTTTAAAAAGTTAAATTGCAGTGAAGCTGGGCCTGATTCTTTTTCATGATGCTGTTTGAATTTTTGTCCTCATTCTCTTATGTTCTTTTCATGTGTCCTGTTCTTTCCTTCCACCCCAGGACAGGCTCATTTTCCACTGTCCTTATAAACGAGTTGAATTTCTGATCAGCCCTTGCAGTGCACGGAGCAAAATTTGCTGAAAATCTGTTTCCTGAGTGTAGTTCTTTTATTGTTCAGAACCCTCTTGCCTGCAAGGCTTTACTTTTTCTGTGCCAGCATTTTCCTCCTGAGATGTTTTATATTTCCCTTGCTTACTCATATTTCAGCTCTCGAAATATGACTCTGGTGAAAAATTCACAACATTATTATTTCAGGTAGCAAATCATTCAACGATTGCTTTTAAAATATTTTTCATCTTTCCATATGATTTAGAAAAAGTCAGTGGAAAGTTCAAGCTTCTGGCAAAAAGATAATGAAAAAGAGAGCATTTTTGTCAAATTGATTTATAAATACACCTGCTTCCATAATTAAGCAGTAGCTGGAGTGTATCTGTAATCTTGGTCTGGTGTTGGTCTACTGGAAAAAAAAAGAAATATCATCATTATTAAAAGTTTTTCTATAAAAAAAGTGTTTGGTATTTGCTTCTCTAAAGTCCTGTGTAGCCATTTCATTAGTGTAGATTTGATTGAAATTCTAACAGACATAAAAACTCATGTGCAACAAGAATTTTACAACTTTTGCATGTTTGTATCTGCACTGACGAGGAAATGTGGACATAAAATTAAATGGATCTTCCTGGTGCTGGAGGAAAATTACAGAATGCATTATATGACCTGCTGGGATTTTGGTTTTGCCCAAACTGTCTAAAATATTTCTTAGTCCTTAGTTTTCATTTTGCATTTTGAAAGACCTATTAAAACAAGGATTGCCCATTGCTGTGTTGTAAATATGAAATATTTTTTATTTCCTCAGCAGCTATCAAGACAGAAACAACTTGGACTGTTAGAAATGGGTGGATGAAACATTTCTATTTCATGTTTGTTCAAGAGATTACAGTAAAGTATATGCTGTATGCAGGTGATTAACTCACTTGAAAATGCTTGTGCATACTTTACTTATTGGCTAAATGAGCAGAAATAGGGGGGAAAAAAGGAAATAACAACTTTAATTTTTTTTTAGGAATAAGACATGAAATAATATAGAACACAAGAGCCAGGGGAGTTTTCAGCACTACCATTATCAGTGCAGTAATTACTATTAGCAATAAAAAAAGCAGCAAACAATCCCCTTTAATTCATGTCTAACTATTGAATCCTGGTTTTCTGATGGGATATTTTTCAGAATCTCACCAGGGATGTTCTCTATGTATATTTTGAAGCTAACAAAACAAACAAAAAAACCCCAACCAAACCCTCCCACCACCAAAGACACCTTAGAACACTTGGCCATATCAGAGTAGATCTGTAGGTCCCAAATGAAACTTATCAGGTTAAACCCCAAAAACAAGTTAAAATTCGACTCATCTGAGGGCTTTTTTATTTAGTAGTTTGAGAGGGAAATTGAAATAGTTCCCTCATCAAAGAGGCAGTTTTTCTTACTAAAAAAAAATTAATTGAAGGTTTTCATCAGAGTTCTCCCATTTGTTGCCCAATAAATAGGGACTTGTTGGGAAGATTAAAAAGCCTATAATTTGCTGTCTTGTAGCAAGAACACAGAATGAGAAAAAATAATCACAGTTTATTATACTTGGCTAATATAAATTGAAGTATAACTGGTAATTTGAAATACTAATGTGAGTATGTCTTGTTGCTCAGATTTAAAATTGGGATGCTGAATAACAAATATGTGATTTCTTTTCAGTGAAGTATTGGAGATGTAATTTTTATGACTAGAAAGGCCTCTGAAGTGAAAATAAGAATTTACTTACCACTACCTTTACAAAATAAGAGAATGTACCACTAAGTCTACAAGATAAGAGATGCAAAATTGGGACTGTCCTTGTTGGAGTAAAACCTTTTGGAAATGTATGTATTGTGATATTAAACACAACTCAGATTTTTTTTCTTAGATGGCTGAGTTAACCACGGTTTTGGATAGTATAAATTTTTATGTCTTTCTGCACCAAGAAATTTGGTTAACATAGAATCATGGAATTTTGGATGTTTTCCCCTTTTCCCAGTTTCCATGCAGAATAACTGGTGTTCTCCTTGCTGCCTGAGCCACATTCCTGCCAGAGCTGCAGAGCAGAGTGTTCAGTTCCTGCCCAGCAGGAGTGCAGCCATCAGCACTTTTCCCTCCTTCAGCTGGGCTGCAGCTGAAATGGTGTTCCAAGAAGGGGATGGATGACAAGAGAGCCATAAGGATCTGTTCCTTTGACCCCAGATCTGACAAATCCAGCCCATTTTTCTGGTTTACAGTCCAAAAGAAAACAAAACAAGCAATCCTGGAGACTTTGACTACACCAAGGGGTATCTGACCAAAATGATTTATGGTTATTATCTGAAAACTTCAGAGCTGTGCAGAAACGTGGACTCACAAGGGAGATACCTTAAAGTCAGAATAAACAAACCAATCAGAATATACTTGTTTAGGAGAAAGGTATTGGAGAAAAAAAATAATCATGCATGACAGAATTGTTCTGTGCAGATAAATGACTGTTTCTTCTGTGTTTATAAATTTCAGTTTTTCTAGTATGTTGAATTAAGGAATAAAACCATTCTCTTATTCAATCCTGGCATATTTGTAGCAGTTGCTTTGGCCAGCAGGAACCTTCTTTGATATGTGGACAAGGCAAATGGAAGACAAAAAAACCAGGCTCTGGACTCTCTTTAAGGGATTTTCATGCTGTGCTGAGTTCAAGAATACTTCTTCAATTCAAAGAATTTTAGATAGGAAATCTTTAATAATACAGGCAGCAGGAAATTAGTAGGGAATATAAAAATCACCCTGACTGTTTCTGAAAGTATTTGATATTTCAGGTGGGTTTCATCTGTTTCACACTGTTCCAAAGCTGGTTTGATTTTTGAGTTCTGTGGTCTTATGCTGCTGTTTTTATTTTTCTTGCTCAAAACTATTCATATTTCCAGAGAAGAAAAATTCTGCAAAACCTGTAAAAAATTCTATAAAGTTCTATCTGCCTCCTGTTGAAAGATATTTTCTCATGGTATTTAAATCTGAGCAACTGTGGCCTTATGGTCAAGACTGCTCAAATACTTCTACCTATTGTCTGCTTTTCATCTGCATTTTTTTGCCTTATCTTCTGTGTAGTTTGCTATAGAAATTGTCCAGCTGAACTGGTAAATCTTCTCAAACAGAAGCATTAGTTTCTTTTAACTTCCCAGTGTTGTAGTTTGAATCAATCAAGGTTCTCTTTACTCACATTCCTGTGTTCTACCTTGCTTATTTAATTCCAGCTTTCTTCTGCTTGCAGGAAATGAGTGGAGTTCTGAAGAATATGCTGTCAGAGTGGTTCTGCACAGGATTCCTGAACTTGGAAAGGGTCACTTGGCAATCCCCTTGTGAAATACTCCAGAAAATTAGTGAGTAAGTGCTAAAGGTTGGGAAGACTCATTTATGAAGAGGTGGTGAAATGCTTGGGACTGCACAGATCCACTGTTTTCAAAACTCTGCTTTTCAATACTGAACCACAGGCAAAGTATAATAATGGAATATTTTCATTTAACACTCTGTAGAGCACACATTTAACAACTGAATTAAATAACAGTAAAGGGGATCATTTGTCCCATAATTTGATCCTTTAGCTCACATGCTGCCCTTGTAGACTGCTGTGTTTTTTTCCAGCTTTCCCAGTTACTCTTTACACGTTTTCCTACAAACCCAGATCCTTGCCTTTGCTGCCACAGATGCTGCAGCTGCTGCTGCTTCCATGGGCCCCCATCTCTCCTCAGTCTGCACCAGCAGCACATTTAAATCTCGTGCAGCCCAACACTCAAGAGCTTTTTTTACTTCTAATCCAGTGATATTCCCCTTCCTGGCTGGACCTGGTGAGGTGCACAGGATCACCTGTGACCTGTGTGTGAAGAGAGAACCTTGGGTTTTATGTAATGTGCTCTAAAACATTTATTTCTGAATTGCTGTTAAAGCTGTGAGGAAGTTGCAAATGAGTGGACTCAAGTTATATTGTTGTGCCACTTTGTTATATAAAAAGTTTGAAGAAAACTGAATCTCTCAAGAGTTCTGACAGTATGTGACTTAAATGTTGAGGAGGCAAAGAAAAGAGATCTTGTATACCAGCTAAAGGTTCCAAATAAAAATAATGAGTAAGAATTAATCTTCAAGGGAATTTGGCAAACACACTAAAGAGTAGATGTGCAATCTGCCTTCACAATCCACTTTGTCAGTTAGCTGATGAATTTTACTTTACTCACAGCGTGATTCTCCTCCTTTCATTGGAGAGTTTTGTCCCTGACATCAGTGGGAAAAATGAGGAGCTTGTAGGGTTGGCAGCTGACCTCTTATTTTGAAAAAATGATAATAATTGTGCTTTTCTTTTCTCCTTGAGTTCTGAAGCTGTGCATCCTGTCAGGAACTGGGTTGATATGAAGCGTCGAGTTGGGGCCTATAGAAGATGTTACTTTTTTTCCCACTGTGCAATCCCAGGGGAACCATTGATAGTCCTGCATGTGGCTCTGACCAGTGACATCTCCAACAACATCCAGGTACAGTCACTGCTGCATTTAGTACACAGCAAAGTGCTCAAATTGCAATGTGCTTCCTTTAAAATTCCTTATAATTTGTGAATATTTGGGTTTGCTTCATCTTTTTAAGAGATGAGAGAATTGTAAAAATTACAGGGATAATCTGTATATGTAGCTGTATTATGTAAGTTGACATTTAGGGGAGTTGCTCAAGTGGGAGAAGAATGAGAAAAAATAAGAAATATATAAGAAAATGGAGCAAATGAGATTAAAACTCCAAAGTGGTTGCAATTAATTCTGAAAATTTTAAACCATGTTATTTGCAGCACTTACTAATGGATAAACAGCTCTTCTTTCTTCTTTTTCATTAGATTCTTATTGTTTCTCACAGAGGGTTATGAATAAAAGAGTGGGGAAAAGGGCTAATACATTTAAAAGTTAAAAAGAAAGACTTCCTCCCCATAATGATGATGATAACCATTAATAACTTTTCTTTTAAATTCTAATTTTCCCAGGCCATAGTGAAAGAAGTGCCTCCTTTAGAAACAGAAGATACAGAGAAAATCTCAACAGCCATTTTCTACTCCATCAGTTTGACTCAGCAGGGGCTGCAGGGGGTGGAACTCGGGACCTACCTCATCAAGAAGGTGGTCAAGGAGCTGCAGGTGGGTTGATGGGGGGTCCTTGAGGTGCTGTTTGCCCACTGTGCTGCCCTGACCTTCCTGGGTTTCCAGTTCTTGTCCCTGCTCAAGGCCAGGAGCTGCTGGGTTTTCCCAGGTCAGCCTTGGAAGATGTGCAAGGACTTGGAAGAACATTTTCTGCTCTTGGTTAATGTCTACCAGGTGTAGGTTCTGTTCCACAGCTGGTACATCCCGTGTGAATTCCTGTGTTTGCCTCCTCACATGTAGGTTACCTAAAGTCAAATGAGTCCATTTCTCTTGAAGGTAACTTGGATACAGCTGGATTTTGCACTGTTGTCTATGTTAGGATTCACTGTTGCCTCTCAGTTGAGGGGGTGGACCCTGCAAGCAGGTTCCGTCCAGGCCCCTGATCAACATTTTCTCTCTTCAGTGTACCTGACAATGCCTTTTTCAAAATCTTACACCTGCTCCAGTAACAAAAATACTTCCTGTACATTAATTTGTTCATTTTTTTGTTTGTTATATTGATTTGCCTCTGGTTATTTATGCAGTTTGCATGCTTGCCTTGAATATCTCTATTTAGGAAAATAAAAAGATTTTTTTGCCCAGGCATTTCTTGCAATATAGTTAAGAGAATGTCTTGATAGTCCAAGAATCAGTTGCTTTATACAAGTCAGATCTATGAATTTAATATCATTACATGCCCTAGGAATATTGTTAATAGTTTTAGTACTTCTTATAGAACCTTCTTCTAAGCAACTTGAGAAAGGGATGAAAATTCGTATATAGAATGGTGTGGAAGAGACAGTCATATTTCTGCACTGAGTACATAATTTTATTTAATACTCTTTACTACTTAAATTATTAACAAACCTGCCACTTAAAAGTGATAATCACTTTTTGTGTTCGTATTTATTCTTCCACATCTAGATTAGTAATGATGTTTGGAAAACTGTGTGATGTAGAACTTAGGTTCTGCTTACAAAAACAACTTAAAGTTGGATGCTCCAAATTTCTACTGCTACAAAATGATTGATTAGTTAACTGCTGAATCATAGCTGGCTGCCCTGAAGTTTTTTATTTTATTTTATTTTTAATGGCTATTTTGGCTGAATTCTGTTGCTTCTTGCATTTGGAATGGCTTTTAGATTAATTGTGGAAAGTGCAGTAGCCCAGGTATAATTAGGCTGTGCCATCTGTCTGATCTTGACTGAGGGGAAATTGGAATAAATCCATGCAGTTATCTGCTTTCAGATCTGGAAAATAATTTCTGCATAATTGAGTTGCTCTCATAAAATAACCCTATTGCCATCAGATCTGTCCATCACTAATTGCTTGCAACACTTACAAAGTTGTGAGTTATAAAGGCAAACGGACACACCATGCTGAGATAACCTAATGCAAGTTCTGAAATTTGGTGTGTCCAACAGAAGAATGTGTTTCTTATTTATACTTAGGACAAAGTTTCTGCATTTCAGTGTGTAAAATCCAGCCTCTCTTCATCAAACAGACAATGAAGGGGAAACACTTTGGCTGAGATGCCTTTAAATACATTCTAATCACAAATTAATGCCTCAAAGTCGTATAACTTTACGTTGAAAACTGAGTGCTGTCCATACAGTGCCAAAGATGGAGATCTTCCTATTCCATGCACTGCTTTAAGGTGTCATGAAAAATGTGTTGTTAGTAAGGTGTTATGTGGCAAATTGAACATGGGCTTAGTTGACTCTGAAGTGCTGGCCAGACTTGAACAGCTTGTTTCTATGTAGTTTGTATCTATATAATAAAGGTACAACAACTTTTATCTCTTGCTTTTACCCCATTCCTTTTTTGGGTACCACTGTAGGGCTAAAGAAAATAAAAAGGATAATCCAGGAGTGTCTGTCCATGATGGACATGATTCTCTAATAGTTTTTCTTCCACTCTTTGATGATGTTAATATTTTTTTCTTGTCTCTTCTGCCACTCCATGCTTTCTCCCTCTTCATTCTAAAGCATTACTCTTGAATTCTGCAAGAACCATTTTCCATTACATATTTTACATCTGTGCAGTGACCCTAAATCACTGTACTGTTGTTACAGAATTATTTGATGCACATCTATAACTCCTCCTTGCTAAGCTTTAGCTTTAAATGTTGTACCTTCCATCTCAGTGGATTTCTCCCCTCAGAGGAGACAAGCCCTGTGTATTTACAGTTTCCAAATGCTTTCCCTGTAAAATTTCTACAAAGTGAAGGCCAAAGGTAGAGAATATGATGAGTAATATTCTTGGCAGCCTGTTTTACCTGTCTCCCAAAACTCTGGAAGTCCTACTTCAGTGGATTAATTGCACACATGTGCTCTCTTTCTCTCTGGTCAGGTGGAAGCAAAGGACTTTCCAAGGTTGTCTGTATTTTCAGGCTGGACATAATTCTTTGGAGCAGCATTACAGTGGCTTTAAAAGGGACAAATGGTGTGGCAGGAGTGCTGAGTTGACTTGGTGGCAGCAGCTTAAACAATACAGGCTCAGCAAAAAAGTCCTGGGTCAAAAATTGCATCTCATTAAGCAAGCTTCCAGCAGCCTTTGCAAAAATAGATGGGTGAGGTCTCTGATAGGAAGAGGATTTTCTATGTAACCTTTTCATGGCTTTGCAATAAACAAATCTCTTTTTAAAGTGCTGCTAAATCACTGAGTGTTCCAAGTTACAGAAGTTGAGACTGTCTTTGATTTAACTGGTAATAAAATCCTTTGGGAAGAGAAGACCATTTGAAGGGGTTGAGGATTTTGTTTCCCATCGTGTTTGAGTTGTTGATGATTAATACACTTTTATAACTTGCCAGTTGAGTTAACTTTTGTGGACATCTGTTTGCTCTGCAGAATTCTATTAGATTCAGTTTTTCCCAGGGCTTTGCAAACTCATAATTTCTTTTATTCTCTAGTAAATGTCCTTTATCTGACTTTGCCTCAGCGTAACCTGCTCTGACACTTCTAAGTCCCACTGTAACCTCAAAACTGAGGTCTCAGCTGTCATTCTTCATAAGGAGAACTCCAGATTGGACTAGTCATGAATGTGTATCATTAGGTCAGAAAAAGACATGCACAAGTTAGAAGTGTGTTAACAGCCACTCTGCTTCCACCACTGAAGCCTTCATTTGACAAGAAACTGTACTGAAACATTAATCTAACAGGTATCTAAACTACAGAATTATGGCTGTAAATTCAGTTAGCACCCTCTTCCTTAAAATCTGATTAATGGACAATTAAAATAGAGCTTAATTTTTTAGAAATCTTCTTGCTGATTTGCCTGATGTGGTCACATACTCTGCTGAACTTGAACTGGTGTAGGGCAGCACTTCTCACCTTCAGAGAATGTCACCTGCTCATTCCCTCGTGAAAGTATTCCTTGCAAATGGGTTTTTATTAGGATTGTTGGGAAAACTGCAGCAGTGGAGGCTCTGGGAAGGATTTCAACCCCCAGTGCTGAGCACTATTAGTTTGGGGCACTGTGTACAAGTTAAATGCCCCTGCTTTTGGGTCTTTCATTAATTTAAGCAGATGGAGGATGGATGAAGTTGAAATGGGTCCTCGGTTTCCTCTCTTTAAATGTGCACAGTTTGCAGTTTGAATCCTTGATCTCTACCTAGACATGATGATTTGGAATTTGCCACAGGTGTTGCTATATATGTTTCTGTGAAGGGGAGGGATATACTGGAAATCAGAGCAGGACCTGAGGGATGTAGCTGGTGTCTCATACAAAGGGCATCCTGGGAGAAAGTGGGCTGCTCTCAGGAGCAGATTGTTCTGTTTTTGGTAGTTTCTTCACAAAAGTTTGCTACACAAGTAATATAGAAGGGTTTTATATACAGGCTTCTGTTGTTATCTGAGCATATCCCGTTTGCATTTTTTTGGGATGAATTCATTACTCCACTGATACCACTTTGGTCCCAGTTCTCCCTGTACAAATCTGAGAATGGGCTGTGTAGGCATTCTGTGTGTGCTCCCTTGGTTATATTAATGTATATAAAGCAGGGAGCAGACAACAAAAATAATCTCTGGTGTTTCTAAAATTCAAGCTTGTGTCGTTCCCAGAAACGAATTGGATTTTGAAACTATTTTAGAGGACTACAAGAAAACAAACAAACCGACCCCAAACTGGGTGCTGGAAGAGGAGCAGGCAGATTGTTTCTAGCAGGCTGAGAGGTGCTGGTGAAGGTGGAGACAATTAGATTGCTCATTAGGCAGACATTTAATTCAGAATGTGTTTATAGCCACTCTGAACGCTCTGGAGCTCTGCAGAAGGTACATCATGGCAATTCAGTCTGCAGATGACAGGCACAGATAACTGTGGTGAAGCCTTTGAGAAAACTGCTTAAGATTTTATAGCCTGTGGCATTTGGGGGAGAAAACTGATAGCTGCTGTGTGACTCAATAGAATGCTTAACAATTGGTGGCAGATTTTAGCTTTCTGCTTGGGCTGTTGATAATTGCTACCTTAATTTGATCTAGGTGACCTGGGGAGATCATAATTTCCAAAACAGGCTTTGCTTTCATTGATGAAAAATGTGACCTTGGACTACAGCTTTCAGAGTGCAAGACAGTTTCAGATGAGATATGGATAACAGGAGAAATCTGTGCTGTTCTGCAATGGAAAAAAAGCCTAGAAAAAAAGACAATCAAACACAGAAATCTACCCCAAACCAAAATTAGCAGCTGTTACTTAATGGTGTGTGGGTTTCTGACAGGAAAGTAAACATTAATGGATTTCCACAATAGCCTTAGAAATTAGCACATCAATTTAGCAACAACATAAATGTGCACACTTGGCTGCATTTATTTATTTTTCCACAAGAAATGTCCGCCCCAGATAAGCTCCTAAACTCAAGCATTTATCAGATATGTGGTACTTTGTACTGTAGCTTCAAAATGGGGTCACTTTGCCATGTCTTACCTGTCCTAAGAAGTAAAAAAAATGTGCACAATTTCCCAATTTGTATTTATTAATAAAGGAGGAGCTACTGTCTTCCTGTTAAATATTTTGGGTTGTCTTGCTGAACATGTCACTCCTTAAAGGGATGATGAACAAAGAGGAGTCAACACCAGCAGGATTCAGTGTCAGTTATTGAATTAGGAACTTTGCAGTGGTTATTATTAACACACAGATAGGGGAAGAAATCATTCATTCTCACTTTTGTCACTGTGGGTGGTGCTCAGGTGCCCTCTGGGCTTTGCAAGCTGGGAGATGAGATTGGGATTGTTGCTTTGTGGGAGCTATGGACAAAGCTCAGCTCCTGTGTGGAAAACTCAGGCAAAGCTCTATGGCAAAATAGTGTTTTCAGGCACTGCTTTCTTAGCAGAGAGAGTGTAGAAGAGATTCAGACTTTGTGCTAAGCAGCCTTTTCTCTTGGTCCAGTCAGTTTTTCCTTTGGCCTGAAAGAAGAATTTCTGCTTCTCAAATTTCAGCATTACCTTCCTTCTTCCCCTCTCAGGTTTTAACCCTAAATATCTGTGAAGAAATCATGAAAGAGACCTAAGCAGTGTGTTCTCAAAGGCACTATCTTTTATAGGATAAGTGATATAGTTAGGAAAAAAAGGCAAACCTTTAAGGAGTGTAATCCTATCTTTGGGTCAAAAAGAAACACATTCTGTATTCCTTGAATCCTTGCCTGGAGGAAACAGCCTCTAACAATTTTTTCTTCTTCTCTATGGTTTTTTTTTCCCCTTTTTCATCCCCACTGCACAACAGTAAAATCTGTAGCCCCTCCTGCAGCACATGGAGGATTTGTCATGGTAGGTCATTAATTTGAAAACTTTTACCCATTTATTCCTGTCTTGTGCTCTTTGTATTATGAACTGAAGAGGAACTTTAAGGCACTAAAAAAATGAAGAAGAGTGAACCCCCATTTTGAAGGCCAGTGTCTTTGAGGGGAGCTGGCTGCTGCTTCAGGATGGGACATGAAAAGGGCACTTCTCATTATAGATGATGGGTTTGTGTTTCTGTGCCCTGAGGTTCCTCTGCAGGTCCATCACATCTGAGGTGGTCCCTGAGATCTCATCCATCATTACTGTGTGGACAGGCAGGAGGCTCCTGGGTCACTGAATCTTCAGAAGGGAGTTGTGACCTCCATTCTGGGCAGCAATTCTTCCAGCTGACATGCAGGAGGTCACATTATGGGACAGCAAAGTGACTCAGCAGCTCAGCTGTGTCCAGTCCCAGCAGAGTCAGCACAGCTCAGCCCTCAGGGTGCTGGTGGGGCAGTGAAGGTGATGCTGCTCTTCACTGACTTGACAGAACTGAAAGCCCTCTGCTCTTTCTCCAGGAACAAACACCTTTGAGTTTAGGAGTGGCCTTTAAAAACTTGCTTCTTCTTCCTCCTTCTCCAGGAGATCCATGGTTTTGTGTAGCAGTGTTGAGTCCAGGAAGGTGTAGCTGACAAGGGGGTCCATGGGCAGAGCTCTCCTCTGCAGGGCTAATGAAAATCCTGCTGCTTGAAAGAAAAGTGCACTCCAGAGGTGATGATTAGGTGTGCTTCTTGATTAAGAAACACAAAGAGGTGAATGAAAGGTGACCAGAGGAAGATGTAGTGAGTGCATTTGATTCTGTATTAAAATTTTATAAAGTTACTTCGAATTGATTTGTGGATAAACAGTGGTTATATCCATGGGGAAGTATTTAGCACAGGGCTCAGAAGGAAAATGTTTGAAGTCTGTGGAGTTGCTTTATTCTGTGCTTATTTTTTCCCTTTTTCTGCCTCCAGATATATTTTTTTTTAATTTACTGTGTCATTGCTCTTTTTCAAAAGCAAAGGGAGAACTTTTTCTAAAGAGTCTAAACTGTCTACTCTAAGAAACATTCTTTTAATTAAAACATACTTTCTGTATCTGTGCCTCTAGTATCCATAGTCTACAGTAAGAGCACAACCCTAATAAACTCATTTTTTTATAAATGTATTCCCTAAAATTGTAGGAAGATGTGTAAGAGATGTCTGTAAATGAACTTTTCTTTTTTTATTTTATGAAATACACATGCAAGGAAACCTGATAGTTGTATTTCATAGATTGTGTTAAGGACATCAGCTTCAGAATTACTCTTAAAAGTAAAATATCATCATATCCTTTAGTGGAAACTTGAAAAAAGTTCCTGCTTTCCTAGTTTCTGCTGCTTTCCTGGTATTGCACTCCCTGACTCTGGAAGCTGTAGCAGTTATGACTATTGATCCAGTCAGGATCTCCTGAGTGCTCTGATTTGTTCAATAAGATACAGAAATTAGTGTTTTTAGGAAATAATTTGTTTTTTTTTCTTTATTTGATTCTTTGAGGAGATAAAATGGGGTGTTTGTTTGTAACTTGGTCTGCTTTTCTTGTTCCTGCCTGCTCCCAAAAGAAGGATTCTTCAGCTTACATGTCTCTATAACAATCAGAGCTTCAGCTCAGGGAAAAGATATTGTGAATACCAGCTATGGAAGTTAGGAAAGGTGCTTGTCTCCAGCCTGAGGTGAGCCAGGCCAGCATTCCCTGGCTCCTGCATCCTCCTAGAGCAGAATTCCCTGGCTCTGCATCCTCCTGGAGCAGATGTGAGCACAGGGAACCTGAGGATGCCACGGTGCAGGAGCAGCTCAGACAACCTGTCCCTGCCAGAGCCATTAACGTGCTGAGGAGGCACCATCTGAGCCCTGATGGCTTTTTAATGCTTACCTCAGTAATCCTCAAAGCACAAAAAGTGCAATTTGTAGTCATTTAAAGACAATTTTCTGTTGACATTAAGATGCCTCTGTAATGTTGATGAATGTCTTGGTTCTCACCACTTCCTCCTGTATGAGCAGTAATTAAACCAACACTGTGGTGGTTTCAGTTCAGCTCTGTCTTCCCTCTGTTCCTTTGCCCCCCACTCCTTTAGAAGGGTTGATTAATGTAATTTTTATTAATTCCAAGTGCTGATGTAATTTTTGTTAATTCCAAGTGTTCCAAGTGACAGGATATTCTTCATGTTGATGTGCCCCAAAACTGACACACAGCTCTCCTTATGTATGCTTTGCTTCATGTTACATAGTTACAGGTTTTAATTACATAGTTTATAGGTTTTAATCATAAATTAGGAGGGGTACAGCAGAAGTTTCTCTTTGTTAAAACAAGAACTGTGTGAATGTTTTTTTGTTACTGCAAGTATGTATCTCTTATCTTGCTATTTTTAAGGACTATCATGAAAAGTAGCTGCCTTGTATAAAGAACTTAATTCAAAATTTCAGGAAATGCTTCTTTCCATAAAAATCTAAAAATAGTACCTCCCCTCATTTTACAGTAGACTGAAGTAGTAAACTGCCCTTGATTTAAAAAAAGTAGTTACATATAAAAAATAAATAGCATTTAAAAGGTTCTAAAAACTTGTAGGTTTATTTAAAAAAAATATTCCTCAGAATAACTTCTTTATGGCCTGTGATTCTATTTGTTTATTTCTGCCTATAAAATGATACCAGAGCTCAGGGTTGGTAAGTACTGCATAAGTACTTTTATATAGATTGGGTGTGAGGACTGTAATTCAGTCAGTGTTAAAGTTTTCTTCATGTTCTTGAGTGCTTTCTACTCACTAACCTGGTACTGGCAGGGTGATTTTTAACCTCTTTTTTGTGTCTGTGTAAGTCAGTTCCTTGTCAGAATCCCTGGTTTTCCCTTGACTTGAAGCTGTTCTTTCACTCAAACTTCCCTGTGTCAGTCGTGACAAAACTCACGATTTTTATTTTCTCTCCTTTTGTCTGCAGAAAGAACTTCCTCAGATAAAAGTTTTTTCTACTCTCTCACCCATCCCAGGATTCACAAAATGGCTTGTTGGCCTCCTCTCCCCCCAAGCAAAAGAACAGGGAAGAAATGAACTTTTTACAGAGTCCGAATGGCAAGAAATCTCTGCGATCACGGGAGACTCTTCCACTGAGACACTGAAAAAACTCTTAAACAACAACGAGTGGGTGAGATCAGATAAATTAGTCGAGGTGCTGAATCCCCCACTGATGAGACTCTGTGCCTGGTACTTGTATGGAGAGAAACACCGTGGTTATGCCCTTAATCCAGTGGCAAACTTCCATCTCCAGAACGGCTCCGTGCTGTGGCGGATAAACTGGATGGGGGACACGAGCCCTCGGGGCATTGGGGCTTCCTGTGGCATGATGGTGAACTACAGGTATTTCCTGGAGGACACAGCCAGCAACAGTGCAGCTTACCTGGGCACCAAACACATCAAAGCCTCGGAGCAGGTGCTTGCCTTGGTGTCCCAATTCCAGCAAAATAGCAAACTGTAATTAAAAATTCTGAAAGCTAAGAACGAGTGTTGCTCACCCATAAAGAGCTGTAAGAATCTGCAGTGCCTGTATTTAAATGAGAATGTATTGTAAAGCAAATTTGCCCAGCACACTACATATCTGGATGGTCAGTTGTCTTGCTTCTGTGGCCATATATTCAAAACCTGACTGGCTCTGCAAGTTCTGGACATCTGTTTATGTGCAGGTGGGTTGGAGGTGTGTAGTAAAGGGTGAGTAAAATTCTCTTAATCAGTTACAACTCAGCAGTAATTGAATGGACAATACTTGAACCGAGCATTATTCTGTTGGTAATAAACCTGTATAAACTGTCCTGTAAGGAGCTGCACTTTGTCATAATGCTGCTGTAGATTGTTCAGTACACAAGTACCTGGAAAGGACTGAATGAAGGTAAATTGTTATTCAAAACCTTAATCTGCAATTTTATTTCTATAATATCTATCTTTTTCACCCTTAGAAAATTCTCATGTAAAACCTTTTTAGGTATTTTCTTTTTTCAAATGCACTAAAAATCTCACTGAATCCTTGCTTTGCTGAAGCATGGAAAAGCCTTGCATTAATGTTCAAAACCCAGGATCTCTCAGTGCAGCAGGTATGTTGTGTTGTATTTCCATCTTCTGGCTGCTAAAATATGCTGAGCAATAAGGAAGTGTTCAAACAGGAGAGGAGAACAAGAGAGACTGATACTTGGGGATCAACTGAGAAGTTTCTAAATATGTATGTTATACTTTGGCTCTGATAATGTTTTAAGTTAACAAAGAGCTTTTTTAATAAAGGGGTAGGTGTGACCTGTAAATCAATAAAAGAGACTTTCTCAATAAATCATGTCTGGTTGTGTTTCAACATCTCCCCTCACTTAGTGGCCCTTCTTGATAACAGTTTCACCACAGAAGAAGGCCCATTTTAAAAGGATTTCATGCTGATTTGTAATATCTGATTTATTCTGGTCCAATTCCAGTCCTGTTTTCAAGAAAAGAATTACACAGAGGATTCAAAAGTAATGGAGTGTTTGCTCGTGTATGAAAACAGAAGTGAAGAAATCTGTAAGTGAAGTAATCTGTAATTCATCCTGGAATGAAGTTAGTTAATTGGAGACACTATTTTCATAGTCATTGTTAGAAACAAATTCCATCCTCCACACTGGTAACCTATTCTGGGAACAGGTTACAGGGATTTCTGTTCATGGTGGATTTTTAACAGCAGTAGTTAAAGGACAAGAATATATTCACTGCCTGTTATTCCCTTGAGAGCAGAGGCAGCATCTGGCCATCAGTGGCAGGATGTCACATTAAAAGTGACAACTCTCTATGCCATGTAGCCTTCAGTATGTTTTTAAGAATAGTTCAGAAGTCAGCATCTTTCTTATACAGAGTTAGTTTATTGATTTTTATAGGATTAAAAGAAATACCAAAGAAGTGTCATCCCCTGGTAAACAAAAATGTGTCCGGTTGCCAAAACCACTAAAGAAAAGTTGAGTTCCTCTTGAACTGTGGTGGTGGAGTAAATATAAGTTGGTCTTGGTTTGGGTTTTTTGCACCTTCTCTGGATATCTTGCTGAATGTGCATTAGGGAACACTTTATTCATGAGGGGAACTAAGGATTAAACACTCAAACCCACTGGGAACTTTTAGTCAGAGACTTTGAACAGGCAACTCCAACCTGGCCAACCTGAGGCAGTAACTTCAGAGTTTTTGCTCTTGGATCAGGAGTTATGGTAAGTTTTCTGCACAACAACAGGTAAGTAGAGTCTGTTTAGTGCTTCATATGGAAGTCTGGGCTTTACCCTCAAGAAATGCTGGAAGTTGAGCACAGGTATTGAACAATTGCATGTCCAGAGGAGAGTTCAGGCTGGAAAAGAGGCAGGGCACAATCAAATGTGTATAATGGTTTGGATTAATTAGGGCATCTTCTCCTGGCATTTTTATTTATTATTACATGAAGAACCTGGTTGCCAATTCTATTGCAAACCCCACATTTTTAAGGCATTGTTAGAATTCTGTTTAAGTTCCTTCTAAAATTTGTGTGCAACTTTTAGTCCTGGAACATGAACATTAGGGAATATACAGTGTGTGTGTGTGTGTATTTAGCTTCCTAAAAAGTAGCTATTTACAGTTGAGAATGTCAGACCTGTATCAGAATATCACACCAAACTACTCCCACATCACTTTTCTCTGTGGCATGTGCATTTTGCTTGTCAAATTTTTTAATGTGAAATAACACTGAGTTGGTACAGAAATTTTCACCACACAATCACTACAGGACACTCCTCTTTTTCAGTGATCAGAGGATGGCTTTGTTCTGCTTTTGGGTTTTCTAGAACTGCCTTAGAATTCAGGTTTCAAGGTGAAATTTAGCTGCTTATATAAACATGTACTAGCCTTTCTTGGCTGGGAGGAATAGAGAAAGACAACCCTCTGTTACATGAAGCTCTTCAAGTTTGAGGAAACCTGGTCATTTACTTCAAGTCAAAGGGTTCTGAAAATGCAATGATTTTGAAAGACAGTTTTATTTTGAAGCAGGAGGAGCTCTGAGGGCAATTAAATGTGCATCCTCCAGACCACAGTTCAAAAAGAGCCAACGCTTCTGCTCTGTTGCAGATGGAAATACAACATAATCCGATATTCTTAACAGCTGGACTCGAAGGATAATGAGTTTTTTCCACTTGGAGCCCCAGACAATTGTATGAGAATTGGTTCAGTGACATGAAGTGATTGTAGCTTATAAGGAAGAAAAAGCAAAGAAAAAGCAAAGCTGCTCATGCTTCGTTAACACTTGAGTTGTTCCCCAGCTGTTCCCCTCTGGCTGTTGGATCTGACACGGGCAGAAACCCAGCCCTGCCCTCAGCTTAAGGGCAGCAGGCACAGCTCTTCTTTTTCTCCCTACCAACCTTAAAATCAGGAGGATTGCTGGCATTTGGCTGTGACAAAGCAGCCATGGGAGTTTCTCTCCAGTTCAGACCTGCACCCTGTGGTTCCAGGACTGGTTGCTCAGCTGCTGACCCAGTGGTTTAGTTGGTGGGTCACAGGCAGGTCTGTCCCTGCTCCCTCACCTCATGCACGTGCCACGTTCCTCTAGACCTTGAACTACCCAGTCACTCCTGCTTTGCAGTCAGTTTAATCTGATGCTCTTCCCAGGAGCTATTCCAAGGGCTTGTGATGTGGGGCTGGCAAGGAGATGACAGACAAAGCATCTTCCTGGAGCTGTTCTGGACGGGTACATTTGTTACATGACATCTGGTCTCCATCAGAACTCCAGCACCTGCAGAGTTGTTTCCTTTTCAACAGTTGTTATGGTTTGGGTTATTGGTTGTGTTTTGCTCTCTGAGATCAATTCATCTCTTATATTGATAAATTAGAGCATTGTGAGGCCAAAAATCCCTGCAGTGATTTCTGCACCAGAGTCACAGCACGGATTTAAGTGCAGACGGATCATTTGAAGATGAGAGTGGGACAGGCTGCTCATAAAAGCCATCAGCTGATAAATGCTATTATTTTTCTTTCATTGGCCATTGATTCTTAGCTGTATAGCACTGCTTGGGTTTTCCAACTTTCTACTAAAGAGTGATTTCAGCATGAAGGATGCCGAAGAGAAAAAAATAAATGTTTGCCATCTGTACCACTTCCTGGGACAATAACTGTCACTGAGAGGATCAGAGTATCAAAGGGAGTCTTCACAGCTCAGAAAGAAGAGAGAAGTCCAGTTCCTTTTTCTCCCTCTCAGTGTGGGCCATTTGCAGTGCCATTTCTGAGGAGCAGGTACATGATGTTACAGAGCACCTTCTGTTACCGTGTGCCCAGAAGGAAAAGGGGAGGCTGGTTTCAGGCTCGCTCCTCAGTAAGCAGTGGGAGCTGCTGTGCTGGAAGGTGCAGCATATAAAAGCACCTCAGTTCCACAGCTGCATCCTGCTTTTGAAAGCAAATCAATAGAAATTATGTTACTTTGTCACTTAGGTTTGTTTATGATCAATTTAGGCCATTTCTCTTGTCACAGGAGTAGGGCCTCTCTTTGAGCACGTTGTATGGAGTTGAGTAGGATCCGTGCTCTCCACGTGCCCTGGATGAGCAATGAGGAAATATTGCTTGACTGGGGGATATTCAGTTTATTTGCAGATGCTGAGCCATCACAAAGTCTTGTTAAAAGAAAGGAGTAAGTGCTACTTGAAGCAGAACAAATTTTCCATGTATATCACTGTAGTTTATTTTAGTTACTGACTGTCATAAGCTACAAAACATGCCTCCAGTGGGAAATCCTCCTTGGGGAAATGGGGACAAAGGTCTGTTGAACCAGATAGATTAGGTTAAGGTAGTCTGATTCTTCAGCCTCTGGATAAGGAAACCCCTAGGAAGGGAGAGATCAGGGTTTTATGGTCAGCATACCAGGAGCAGTTAACACATATTTAGAATTATTTCCTTTAGAAAATAAAGGATAAACCATCACATTTATTGTCTGTTTTTTTACTGCTTCCAAAAGCATTTGAATTTTTCAAGAAATTTGAACCCAAACATTTCTCAAGCAAGGGTGTGACCCCTGGGAATGTTGTATAAATGTTCAGCACTGTTGAGGAGCTGCCCTCGAAAAAGACTCATAAATGGATCTAAAGGGAAGCACCATGTCATGAGCCTGTTCAGATGTGTTTCTGCATTTCCTCAACTTACAGTTTTAGGATTGGTGTTTTTCCACATGCAGCTGCCATGAATCTACCCTTGAGGCACCAACTACACGATCCACAGGTTATGGGGAAAGTTGAATTTTCTTGATGTGTCAGTTCCAAGCTTGATGCTTACAGTTAAGGAATTAAGGACAGCATAAATGGATTGGGTTTTTAGTCAGGCTTAGGTTTTGTTTTATATTGAGGATACCCAGAATTGTTCAGAAAAAAAAATAAAAAAATCACTTGTTGCCACATTATTCAGGAACGGAATGCATACTCATTGCTCTTGAAATAAATCTGTACCAGCACTGATCAGTGCTTGGAGAATGCTGAGATACAGCAAAATATAATCTGACAGCTGGATAAGTTATTAAACCTCATACTGGGATTTTGGCTGAAAGCCAGAGGACAGTTAAATGTGGGATTCTGTCTTCAGTCCCTGTTTTCAGCAGGGAGGATTTGAGGCAGTGCCTGGGAGCTGTTCCCAGAGCTGTTCCCACCTGACAAGCCCTGCAGGAGAGGGCAGTTCACAAACTCCTGTCCAGCCCTGCTGAAGCTGTGATGGTTCAGTGGCTCATTGGATTCACTACCAACCTACTCATTTAGCTGCTCCTCCTGGGAAGAGCTTGGGCCGGTTTCCTGAGGTTCCCTAATTCCCTCAGCGGGGCAGGGCTGGCAGAACAGCTCCTGGCATTTCAGCCGACTTTTCCCTTGTTATCCACAGGCAAGGAAGTCTGGTGGGAGCTCCAGAGGCTTGCTGGCTGTGCAGGCTGCTGAAAGAAGCTCAGAAATTCCCTGTTAATCCCTGTTTGCTAAATGCCAGAATCTGCTGATTTTGTTCAAGTGCTGCCATTGTTGAAGTCAAGGGGAGATTTGTTTTCTTAAAAAGTGGGATTTGGGTTGTGTTGATTGTTTGGTCACAGTGACAAAAGCAAACTCCAGATCTGCTACCAAGACTGTAATGAACATGTGCAAATACAGATTTTTATGTTGATTTTTTTTTTTTCAAAGGAGCTGCATTCCTTTTCCATCTGGCTGTTTCTGGAGATGCCATAACTGCCTGCAGGATACATTAGCTCCCTGCAACAGGTCACTACTGAAAAACAGAAGGTTGTGTGGCTTTTTTATATTACATATAATATGAATCAATATCCATCTCTTCCTCTTTATC